GCCTGCAGAGAGCCGCACACACTGCATGCGGGCAGAAACTGCAGTCTCCCAACCGCACCTTTCCCCGAAGCCCCGTTACAAACACAACTGGCCAGAACGCCGCGCCCGTTACAAACACAACTGGCCAGAACGCCGCGCCTGGTGGGGGAGGGGGGGTGGACTCAAACCGTGCAGCAGCACCAATATGGGTGGTTGTCAAAATTATGATCCCTTTTTGGGTCCCTATAAACTATAGTACGGCACCTATTATGTAGGGTACCCAGAAAGGGACCATAATTTTGACAACCACCCATATGTCCCAGTCCGATCATCGGCCTCGGCAGTGTCGATCGCCTGACAAGGGAACATCTACAGAAATTCAGGGGTTGGGGTTGTTGGATGAAGATATCGGGACGGGTCGTCTTCTGGGCTCACACTTGCACGAATGTCCCGACGTGAACACCATAGCTACTAAAGCAACTTGGATGAGTCTGTTTGGATTGATTCGGACTGCTTCCTGTGGGTGTCGGAGACTTAACGGCAATCTTAAACGCTGGGTGACTTCCGCTTTCAGGCTTCTTGGGTTTACCAGTCCTTTGTAGCCACTATAAAATTGTGAAGTAACCGTTGTAGTCGCCACAATAGTGAACCCCCTAAACTGCTGAACCCCCAACCCGAAACGTTGAGACCTGAGCCACACTCTACACTCCGCACGCCTGCCCGGCCAGCGTAGGATCTTCGATTCCTGGACTTGAGGGGCTCGTTGGATGAGCAGCCCCAAACACGCACTGCATCCCTCACGGCGGGGTTGGCTGCTAGGACTTATGAAGAGTCCGAACGTCAGGGTCCCCACAACTTCGAACTCCAAAGTCCAAAGCCATCATTGCTCATCTCATATACACGCCAGACTCCAGACCCGAAATCTAGGTGGGGCTTTTAAAGCCTTTGAAAAATATTCGTAAATAGGATCCTCTTATTCCCAATAAGGGAAAATATAAAATGTCCCAAAGCCCTACCTAGAAATCCTCCCTCCGCCCCCAGCCTAAACCCTAAACCCTAAACCCTAAACTCCCTCCGCCCCCCAGCTGCAAATCCCCGTAGCGTCCTGTGTCAGCCAGGACCTGGAGGCGAGGCTTTAAGGTTTCGTAAGCTTCACGGATCTTTCGGTCCGCCAGGGCTCACGGTTTAAGGTTTACGGTTTAAGGTTTAGGGGTTTAGGGGTGTTGGGGGTTTAGGGGTGTTGGGGGTTTAGGGGGTTTAGGGGTGTCGGGGGTTTTGGGGTTTTGGGGGTTTTGGGGGCTTAGGGTTTAGTTGCGGGGTTTGGCATCCAGGTTTGGGAGCTCAGGGTCCTGGACTTCATCAAGGCTCCGGCTGTCAAGCTTAAGTAGCTGCGTCGCTGTACTGAGCTTCTAGTTCTTTTTAGAAGCCTTAATAATTAGAATAGGGTTTGGGGTATGGTATATACTATAAGAATTACTAAGAATTACTAATAAGGAACCCCCCAAAAACCCCAGTCTATCCGAAAAGCCCCACCCCTTCAAGAGCAGGCCGACCTTTCGAAACCCCAATAAATCCACTACAAAGTGTGACATAGACCTAATACTTGGAGGATCATGGGACTTATAGTAAGTAAGGTTATAAGTACCTTAATTGGGGTTATAAGTATAGCTACCCTAATTATAACCCTAGTGACCCCAAGGGTCCAAAGGACCGAATAATTAGGTACTTGGGTTTCGGATAGTACTTATGTAGCTCAATCTTTAGGAGAGTATATGATTATTATGTACTTGGACCCTTAGGGTAATCTGGCACACATCCCTCATTATGCATGATGAGCGGGTCTATCCTGCTGTGCAGACCTAATCAACCCCCAAACCCCCAACCCTAAATCCTAATCCCTAAACCCTGAACCCTGACCCCTAAACCCTAACCTAAGCCGTAAACTCCGCAAGGCGTGAGCCGCTTTCGAAAGCCAAGCCGGCCTTGGGATCCATGGACAGGAGCCGCGCCGGGTGCGGAAGTGCCCAGCGCGCCTCAGACATCTCCGAACGGGGCATTCGGGCACTAGCTCAAGTCCATGGTCGTTGATGGTTGAAAAAGTTTGTTGATTCTTGAAAAAGCTGAAGTCCATGGTCGTTGATGGTTTGCATGCAGAGTTGTGAATGATTATATGAACATAATTGGCTGGGTGCGCCAAAGCAAAGCCCCCCGGCCGTCGCAGCGAGGGTTCGCAGCTTTGCCAAGACCTGCTCAAGATGTTCGGCGTTTAGGGCTTAGGGAATCCTGGACGGCTGCTCCAAATTACAGTCCCCTTTCGTATCCTCAATCTATTGAAAAACTATTGAAGCAGGTACCTTGGAAGGGACGCCTGGCAGTAGAACCACTCCGGCAATACGAAACTCTGCGAGTGCTCGTAATCGAGGAACAGTGGTGCCAACTCAAAGACTTATCCAACCTCTGTTGCTTTTGGTGAACGGTTCAAAGGATCATCCTAAGAGACGCCCCCCCACGATGGGGTAAGCTCTAAACCTTAAAACCCTAAAACCCTAAACCCCTAAACCCTAAACCCCTAAACCTAAAAACCATAAATCCCTATACCTAGTAACCCTAATTCCCCAAACATACAAACCCTAAACCCTAAATCCTAATCCCCTAAACCTACACCTAAAAACCCCAAATCCCTAAACCCTAGAACCCTATAGTACCCTCAAAAAGTAACCCGTGTATCGATCCCTCAAGGGAACCCTTAAAGGAGCCCCTGTAGTAGCCCATTATCCTATCCTAACCCCCTACATCCCTAAACCTGAACACCCTAAACCCCTAAACCCTAAATCCCCTAAAGCCCTAAAAACCCTGAATCCCAGAGAAACGGCACGGCGCCAAGATCTTCACCTGGCTCAGGGCAGCCCAGCGCTCGGTGGACCAGCTCGCGCCGACCTCTTCGTATCATGCAATATAGAGGCGCCTTAGTATTTAGAGTAGGGTTTAGGGTAAACTGTATTTGTAACATATATTATGTAATAATTACATAATATATGTTATAAATACAGTTTACCCTAAACCCTACTAATACAGGGAGTTGAGGGTTTAGGGATTTAGGAAAGCCCTCCGGATGCCCGGCTTCCCGGTTTCTCTAACAGGGCTCAGGATTTAAGAGAATTAGTAGGGCTGCATCTTTGGGGGCCTCTATCCTAACGATCATACTATATAGGGAATTCCAGAAAGTTGGAATATCATTATCGTAACCCCTTTAAGGTAAATTATAGGGGATCCTACCATTAATCCATATTCCAACTTTCTGGAGTTCCCTATATTGGGTCCCATTGTGTAGGGAAACTACCATTTCAGATTTTTGAATTGAGGTTTCGGGTCTACGGCTGAGTGTTGAGGATCGGGAAACCACCACCAGAATTGCCAATCTCAATCTTGCCACTCTAAATAGGCTACGGGTGGCGTCTTCAGAGGTTTCGGATCTCTAGCTCTGCAGCTATCAGAAACAAGACTTCTTAATCAGTTGTGCATTTGGGGTTTCTTGCTGTTCATGGCACATGCACACATCCTTCAATTGAACCGGCCCAGTGTCTCAACAGCATTTCACCGATCCCCGACACCCTTGTCCCTTACTAAGCCGTAGCCCAGCACTCCGATCAATCCCCAATTGCACAGCGAGACATGAAAGGGTTAGGGATGAGAGCTTGGGGCGTGAGGTTTGCGATTTGGTCTAATGTAGACCCGTCATTGATAGACCCGCTCCCTTTAACGGCCTTCATATTAGGATCCCTGTTAAAATCCCTATTAAGGAGGGGGGGGGTCATTAATGAGGCCCTAGACCCTAAACCTAGGTGTCTGCATTACGGTCTGGGGATTTGTCCCAGAACATGCATTTCTTGTAGAGTGTCGTCACGCTCCAAGAGCAAACCCTCAAGAAATCTCAACTTCTCCCATGCCCCATACCGCCTATACCCGAAACCCTATTTTGGGCCGGCCTCGCTCTGAAGCTGTACACGGGATCTTTACAAAAGCGATTAAAACGGCCAATGCTCCCAGCTTGCAAAGCTTGGAGCAGAAACTACTTAAAGGATCATGGGACTTAGTAACTAGGGATATAATTCGGGTAACTATACTTATAACCTCAATTGAGGTACTTATAACCTTACTTACTAAGTCCCATGATCCTCCAAGTAGAGTAGATAGCCATGCTGTGGATGCAAGGATCGTCGTCCCTGAATGGCAGCAGGCTTCGCATGTGCTTGCATAACCTCCAGATGGATCTTGCTGAGAGGGCCCTTCTCAGCTTGCACTTCTAGCCTTGTCCCCTAAACCCTAAACCCTTTCAAGGCAGACTAAATAATCACTTATCACACAACAAGCTGATGGCTCCGATGCTGAAGTTACCCTTTGCTTTGTAGCAGCCCCTGGTAAACCCCGAGCAACAGGTTCTGCACCTGCTTTGTCGGCAGCCTGTTTGCATACCAGAACCTGCTATGTCCGCCGTTGTTAGAGCAACTGGCTTTAGGGTTTCTAGACACCTACGCCCTCAAACAAGTCTACGACGACTATGTCTCGCAGATGTTCACACCCTTGACTGCCTGGTCATTGGCACTGTAGCTTGAAGCTCATGACGCAGCTGCCGGCAAAGGGTTCCAGCGCTTTAATGTCTTCGGCACTCATACTCCCTAGGCCTCAAACCCTGGTTGATAGCCTTGACTACAAGAGCGCCATCTACCCATTGTCAAGGACACTTCCGGCCGGGGAAGATCCTCCAGAAGCCTCACATAGCCCATACGTAGCTGGAACATCAGCCCCTATGTAAGGATATCCATCTTGCAGCTCCCCAAAAATTTCACCCGGATTTACAGCACCTTCGACGTGACTCCCCAGCAAGATCCACAATGCTAATCTGAAGTGTACGGACCGTGGCTCGGCTCACATCAGTATGTGCCAAGATCACGCACCTAATAAAACCCATGAATGCACTTCTGGGTATCCCCAGAGATTGGGCGAATAACGTTGGCACAGCCTCACATAATCAAGATGTTCGCTTGCTGAACATCGTGCACATGAACCTGGATGATCTCCGACTTTGGCGGGGAAAAGAGACGAAGCACCTGAGTTTCGTGTCAGGTCGGATGGGGGCTTATGCCAGGGAAACCTCCAGGCAGGTATGAGTTATCAGGTGATCCAGGTGGTAACTATCCACCTGGAGGCATCTTTGATTTTGGGTGAAAGGTTGCAGCTGAAAATTTTGGGTGGGGATTTAGGGCTTCTAAGTGGTTGAGGGCCTGCTGCAGATTTCGAGCCACTGGTAACATGAGGCCCCAATTTTCCTTCCATCTATACGTTTATGTTTTAGGGTTGAGGGCTAGGTTTGGGGTTTAGGGTGTCATCCCGAAATAGATCGGAGATCAAAGTTTGGAAGTCTGCCATCTTACAGTGGCTTCGATCTAACCCGTCAAAAGAACAGCAAAATACCCAAACATGAGGACTACGCAGGGGCACAAGGATGATATTTAAACCTCTAGTATCTCCCTAATGACTCCCATAGTAATCCCTATATAATCCCCTATACAACCCTCCTTTCAGGAGTTTAGACTCTAGCGTATCTAGGCTATGAGGATTGTGAAGGGCTTACGCCAGGCTTTCGGGAGCTTCCTGCCTGGAGCTCAGTGCCTATCAGGAGGAAACAGGGTGGATTTCCCAGAGAGCCCAATACCCCTTAATTAAGGAATATAGCTTAAATCATCATATGAAGCCCCTTATAATTTAAGGTATATTGCTTAGTTAAGGGGTACTGGGCTCTCTGGGATCAGAACCTCGAGCATCTGCAAATGTGGAGTTCTGAAAACAGAAAGCCTAATCCCCAAAACCCAAAGCCCTTTCATAGCGCCAGTGGCTAGGTCCAGCAGTGCCAGCAGCAGTGTCATGATTGGGCCTGGCTCCTCCTGCAGGGTTTGGGGTTTAGGGTTTCGGGTTAGCGGTTTAGGGTTTAGGGTTAGCCGTTTAGGGTTTAGGGTTTAGGGTTTAGAGGGTTTGGGGTTAGAGGTTTAGGGTTGAGATTTAGGGTGTGGTGATCGGGGAATCGAGCCCTCCCGGCCCAGAGCGTAGCTCCAGTTCGGGTATCCCACACCTGCCCCTGAAATTGGCTGCGGCAAGTGCCTTCTGACGAGTTTGCGTTTTAGGGTGTCAGAAACCTCGAACTTCAGGAAGCTTAGCTTACCAGTACACACACTAATCATCAAAGTAAGCCAAGCTTGCAGCATGCAGCTTAGATATGAGCTACCGGGGACGTCTTCTTTAGCCAGTCAAAAATGTGTAAAATGCATTTCCCAAAATCGGATCCTTTGCCTTGAGAATATGAGAAGGACATTCTCGGAAAAACGCTCTGTCACGGGACATTGAGGCTGCCTGAAGCCAAGGATATTGACATTGATGCTAATCTACATCCGGGTATCGATTCCTAACGCCCCCCGGTGGTGCCGTCTTGCGCACGTGGGAAATTTACATGAATGTCAACACACTGAGGGGCTCCCAACCAGGCTAATCATGACATGATGATATATTAAAGCTGTACAATCGTGAAACTAATCAGGCCATCACTATACTGTGATGAGGAGTCCGAAAAGCATAGACCTGCCCGAAATGTATACATAACTAAAAATCAACATGTGCCAGGGACTATTTGTCCTTGCACCCCCCTTGCACATGGGTTTGTGCAACCCCTTGCAAAACTCCAATGACGCCCTTAGTCTTACTACAATGGGTGGGGCCTTAGAACGGCATCCCTATAGATATAGATGGTTAGGCGTTGAAAGAACTCCAAAGCGCAAAAATGGGAGACAGTCTCTGAAAAATGCTGCGCTTTCAACTTCAGGTCCTTGTCTGGCTTGCCCGGAGCCAGTGTTGTGTCAGGCTCGCGTGGAGCACGAGTGGTCTCAGGCTCGTGTGGGGCCTGTGTTGTGTCAGGCTCGCGTGGAGCACGAGTGGTCTCAGGCTCGTGTGGGGCCTGTGTTGTGTCAGGCTCGCGTGGAGCACGAGTGGTCTCAGGCTCGTGTGGGGCCTGTGTTGTGTCAGGCTCGCGTGGAGCACGAGTGGTCTCAGGCTCGTGTGGGGCCTGTGTTGTGTCAGGCTCGCGTGGAGCACGAGTGGTCTCAGGCTCGTGTGGGGCCTGTGTTGTGTCAGGCTCGCGTGGAGCACGAGTGGTCTCAGGCTCGTGTGGGGCCTGTGTTGTGTCAGGCTCGCGTGGAGCACGAGTGGTCTCAGGCTCGTGTGGGGCCTGTGTTGTGTCAGGCTCGCGTGGAGCACGAGTGGTCTCAGGCTCGTGTGGGGCCTGTGTTGTGTCAGGCTCGCGTGGAGCACGAGTGGTCTCAGGCTCGTGTGGGGCCAGTGTCGTGTCAGGCTTGCGTGGAGCACGAGTGGTCTCAGGCTCGCGCGGAGCCAGCGTGGTAGGCTGGCGTGGAGTGTGAGTGGTGGGCAGGTCCTCGTGGCACTTCCGTGCGAATGCCTGCTCACTTCCTGGCGCACGAAACCTCGGATGTAGAGATCCGGACTGCGTGTCGTGTCTGCTCATTTCTTTTCGGAAGACTTCATGTTGACCTGATTTGGCTTTTGGCCTTGAGTTCCTACCTCCGCATCATGGCCAAACTTCAGCGCCTAGGAGGACTCTTGAGACGGGTTTTGGAAAAGGTTTGCGGTTTAGGGTTTAGGGTTTAGGGTTCAGAAGTGACCCTGCTCACCCCATCCGGGCGCCCTTGACAGGTTTTGACATGTGATGACATGCGAGCTCTAGTCTGAACTCCGAATAGCCCCTATAGAACTCCCCTCTGGAATCACCTATAACCCCCTTTAAAGGAGTTTAGACTACAGCTCATATGACACATAATGATCACGTTACTGACCTTGAAAGCTCAAAACTCCAGGCCTGCGCAAGCAGGGGCCTGCGGCACTGATACCAAGCCCTGTTGACCCCCAAGCCACCTGGAACCCACTCTGCTTCGAGATCCAAGCGGCCGTGGGCAGAACTCCAGTTGAAACATGAAGCTCTCACACTTCGACTCTCTCCAGGCGCAGGTGAAGACCTGTCAGGAAACATCAACCCCTTCCTCCTGAGACACCTCTGCATGGAGCTCTGTGAATAAAAGGGGCTCCGTTTTTGGAGATCGATGACTTATGAAATGCCCTCGTCGGAAGAAACACTGCATCGCCTTGATCTTTCAGAATGTCTGATTTTCCGCAGATGCTTTCATAAACATGCAGAGGATTAGGAGGCTCATGAAATCCGCCTTCTAAGCATTCTATGGAGGGTACTCGAGGTTGTGGTCCCCCTGTAAATCCTTCCGTAATCTTTAGGAAAATGTTCGCAAAATACTGGGGCACCCAGGTGCTCTGCCAGGAGAATCTCGACAAAGCCAGACTCTGCAACACCCACCCCTGCACAAAAAACAACACAACACACCCTCAAACCCAAAACCCTACAGGGAACTCCAGGAAAGTTGGAATATGGTTTCAGGGTAGGATACCTTATAATTTACCATAAAGGGTTTAGGATAATCATATTCCAACTTTCTGGCTTTTACCCTAGACCCCTGAACGGGCTCTCACCCTAAACCACCGCTCTCCTGGTGGTGCTGGCATTGGAGCTCATCCAGTCGCTCCATCTGGTCCTCATAAGACTCACAGCACTACAACCCTTAAGCGCACCAGTTAGGAGGCTATCAGACTGGAAAAGAAATCGAAGCTGCCTTGCCGATTCCTTTGTTTCGGATTTAGATTGCAGACTTCCAGGCGTTTTTTATGACTCGTGTTCATATGGCTAGCCGTCCAGAATGCCTCAGGTAGGGAGGCAATAGCGATCCTGTGCATCTGCCTTCATAAATCCCTGGGATCAGTTTTTTGTTTTTGCTGGTGCCTTTTTTCTCCCGCAGGCAGAATGCCGTGATGGCAAGGTCTAAGGGAGGCAAACTGCAGAAGCCCTGCTCAGCCACCAATTTCCAAGCTTCCTTGGCCCTGCGAAGCCAAGCCGAAAGGCAACATGCCAAAACCCTCTGCAGTCCAGATCAGCCCTTACCACTGGCATGACCCGTTCCAGGAAACAAAAGCAGCACTGCCGCAAGTTCATAGCAAGGGTTTGGAGTTCAGGGTCGAAATTGTGGATCCCTTTGTTGAAGACTGTGGGGAGTTTGGGTCTGTGGAATTTCAGGGCTTCGGGTTCCCAGACACGCGCGTTCAGTTTGGCCAGTCAAAGCCGCAAAATGGATGCAGGTTTAGGGTTTACTCTTCAAGGTTCAGGGTTTAAACCCTTGAAATTCTTGGATCCTTTCATGGAGGAAACCAAAGCGAGGATAGGTTTGGGGGCCTATAAAATCAGATTTGTATGACTCTATTTGCATTTTCTAGTGAGTAAAGGTAATATTCTAATTGCATGGCTTTATACGGATTTGCTGGGGATGAAAGGTAATGGAAGTCGAACAACGTTTGCAAACTTACCCTCGAAAGAATAGCCCCTGGTTTTGCAAAAACTCCCGTGGCCTCATCGCGCGGGATGCGGACAGCTTGGTCCACCAGGCGGCACATCCCGGGGCAGGCGCTAGCACAATCCGGCAGATGCGTTATCCTGGGTTGGGATCTTATGGTTGAGGCTTCAGGGCTTAGGTTTTAAGTTGCGTTTTTTAGGGTTGAGAGCTTTCGGTTTAGGAATTCTGTTGGGAATTTAGGGTTGAGGGTTGGAAGTCAAGGGCTGGTGGTAAGCAGGGAACGGAGGAATGGATCCCTATAGTAAGTCCCTCCATCATCCTCCTGCTCTCTTCCTTCCTTCCCTGCAGTCGACTTTTGGGGGCCCCGCCAGTTTCAAGTGCGATATCTGCAGATCGGCGGGCCTTCTCAACAGCACTCAAGAGATCTCAAGGGAAAGAGACCTACGCCGCACAGCAAACTCTTTTACACGACCAGGCGCTGTCCGGTCCGCACAGCATAGTCCACGGCGTATGGACAGACTTCGAAAGCGTTTGCCGCCACCAGCAGAAGCAGCGCACAGTGGTAGCGAGCCATGTCCCCACACGTCAACTCAGAACCTCTTCACACTGAATTTTTCTGCTTAAGCCCGAAAAGCCACGGTTGCAGATGGCCAGGTGTGTAGATCCCAGAGCAAGGCAGAACACGATACATCTTCAACCGATTGCCAGGGGAAAAAGTCCTGGAGTCCTAAAGCCCTCCAGAGAAGCATGACCACCACCAGGCAGGCTGAAACGTGCTTGGCCAAGAGCCTCTCAATTGTAAACCCCCTAAACCCTTGACCCCGCCCTTCAGGAAGATATGCTGAGAGCCCTTGGACCACTGGCCTCGGCCTGCAAACAATAAAGTCCCACAAGGGTTTAGAGCTTAGGGTTTTGGATTTAGAGTTTAGCGTTTAGGTTTCAGAGTTTAGGGTTTAGGGTTCCTCTCCTGGACATCCCAGACCACCAGGACCTGACTACACCCCAAATCTTAACTTGCAAGGGCTAGTATGTACGCATGTGATCTAAAGGGCTAAAACCCCAGAAGGATTTTACACACCTGAACCAAAGACATATACATACGCAGCTATACCCAACTTGAAACTGGCTGGGGTTTAGGGAGGTTTGTCCAAAGACTGTTTGGGGTTCAGGGTTCAGGGTATGCAGGAACCTAATACAAAAGGGTTTGGGGGGTATATTCAACCATAAACATAACAAGGACCCCGCCAAACTAATATAGGTACACCTATGTAGCGTATGTATGCACGCGTGTATGCAGGTATGTACTCTGCGTCCTGCTTGTGCAGTGTCTCTACAGCGCCATCGTGAGGCCCCAGTTTGGGCAGGGTTTGTTAAGCACCGGATTGACATAGCCGCTCTAGGGTCTACAAGTACCTACATTCCAGAGTTTGGGGTTCAGCCTCGTACTGAGATCCGTAGCTTATTCAACAAGGGTCTGTGAAAATGTGTAGAGCTGCGTGGGACTTAAGTCTACGCAGTTCTCTCTACTGCGGGTATATTACAGAAGGCTCTTGTGGTGGCCTTGCTGCTAGTTCCAGGTGGAGTAGTGTGGATTGGCACTAGAACAGCTTTGCGGATTTAGCTTAAGTAGCTGTAAGGAAATAGCGCGACATGTACAGATCAACAGCACAACTTGCAAACCCTAAACCCTAAACCCTGAACCCTAAACCCTAAACCGTGAACCCTAAACCCTAAACCCCGAGCCCCAAACTTGGAAGCCAGGGCTTTAGGACCCGAATCCCGAAGAAGCTGGAGCAGCTGTCTGCACTTAAAGGATCATGGGACTTAGTAACTAGGGCTATACTTTGAAGAGCTCCTTTAAAGGGGATCTATAGGGGTTCTATACTAAGAGGGGATTTATAGGGTCTACTGAAAGGATGATGGGACTTAGTAACTAGGGTTATAATTAGGGTAACTATACTTAGAAGCCCAATTACGGTACTTATAACCTTACATACTAAGTCCCCTGATCCTCCAAGCACTGAGCTCGCCTTCTCTGGACGTGCCAGTCGCCGGTAGGCCTCTGAGCTTTCTGAGGGGCACTTTCCGGCCGTACATCGTTCCTGTAGTGTCTCTGCAACGACACCGGGAACATAAGTTTCTGTTTGGAGCCAAAGCAGCGACTGATCGTTTAGGTGCTCAGATTTCATGGGATGTGGGGCCGGCATCGTAGAAAGAAACTACATTGCATATTCGTATGCATGCATGTATGTATGCATGTATGTCTGTGCACGAATGCCTGCCGTGACTCCTGTAGAAACCTCTCAGACCCTGGAGACCTGGCCTCAGACAGGGCAGCCATCACACGGGAGATGGCCGCCTGCTGCGCTTGGCGCTCGCGAGGAATCCGCAGAGGGATTTGGGAGTTAGCAGTGTGGCCTCAGGGGTGCTGTGATTTCGAGGTGGACATAGGCGCAAAGAAATGGGCACTTACTTGGAGGTCGAGTTTCAGCGAGTTTTACAGAGAAACCGGCATGAAGCGCAAGGCTTGTTTCAATTCTCAGAGATGACAAAAACTACTTGCTGCCGGCACGACGAGCGAGGCTAGTGTAGTGCTAATGTAGTGGCGCGCAGGATCTGGCATGCCTCCTCCTGCTGGAGACTTTGCATCGAGTTCCTCGCAGAGACAGGTGATTCTTTGGACTACGAGTTGGGATGTCAGGATCACGTGAACAGGAGGTGCAATGCCCTATCGGACGGTCCTACATGCATGCTCCTTCAGCCGCTGTGCGATGTGATCCCCCATGACTTATCAGGGTCGATTCGAATAGGTTTTCTTCGGGAACTTGCCCATCACAGGAGACGCCACACGGCTTCAGCTTCCGCCCCGTGCACAGGTTGTCGCGATGCAACGACCTACAAGAGACTTGTGCAACGAATCCTGAAGTAATTAATGGCTTCAGAGTTCGTTTTCCGTACCATCTGAAGCTAGGGCCATAAAAACCTAAGGTGCTTGCATTTTCTCTTGCCCCGCAATGCAATCGGACTTTCTGCTCTGAAACCTTGTCAAAGCCTCTGACTCTCTGAGCTGCAGAAACCCAAGCAGGTACAGTGCTTTCCGGACCGCATACGGCCACATGCAGCAACGGAAGCCCTGGCACAGTTCTAAGAACCTGCGCTGAAGCCGATGGCTGTGATATGCCAAGAGGTGGTAGATATCTCGAGCTTCGGAGCATCAATACAAGGTGCTCCTCACTATCTCCAAACCCTGAAATAACAGCTCAGTCCCACCACAAAAGGATTCCCGGAGCAAGCGGCCGATACTAGCATGCAACAGCTCAGCAATTCTGAAGAGTGCTTAATATAGGGGCCTTAATAATTGAAGGAGCCCCCACAAAAGTATTGGTAATTAGTTAGGCCCCTATATTAGGGCCACTCCACAACCCCAACGTCTGCAAGTGCATCCGAACCAAAAAGCCTTCCTCGACCCATGCCCACTTCCCAACCGGTCCCGACGGCTGCCGCTGCAGCGCCACCGGCACCTGATGCAAGGGGTATTGTAGGGCTTAGGGCTTAGCGCCCGAATACCAAAAAGCGAAATGACAACTCACCCTTGCAAAGTGCAAAACCTTGCTTTGAACCATGTAGTTCAGATCTCCTTGCAAACGTCCCAACAAGCCTCTTCCCCATACTCCCAATACGTGGGTGATAGTGGCAAGCGTGGAGCAGGAGAAATGGAAGTAAGCTGTGCCGAGACTTCGGTCACAAGCACGGCACTGTGTTTTTCTCGGTTTTGCGCCGTGCACTGTACAAGGAAGCTCGGCCTAAACCTTGTAGACCTCCGAACCGGTTTTCTGAAGCCATATGCCCTATAGTAGAATTCCCTAAACTCTCAACGACAAAATCGGAATCCTATAAATCCTAAATCCAGTGCTTTAAAGCTCTAAGCCCCAACCTAAATCCTAGCCCCACCACGTTTGAAGTACACTAGAAACGATCGGGGACCAACTTTGGGTCCCTCTCATGGCGGCAGCCGCTGCGGGCAACCGAAGAGCGTGGCCTGCCTCGCAGGGCGTAGGGTTTCTCTCTCTCTCTCTCTCTCTCTCTCTCTCTCTCTCTCTCTCTCTCTCTCTCTCTAAGTTTAGCAGACAAGAAGGGTTTAGGAAGTTTAGGGACTCGGGGTTTGGGGTTTAAGGGTTTAGGGTTTGGGGGGTTTGGGTTTAGAGTTCACAGTAAGGGTTCGAGGGTTGGCCTTAGAGTTGAGGAGTTCAGGGTTTGGGGGGTTTAGGGTATTGAGGACTTAATTGGCCCTAAACACCTTCTGAATTAGAACTCAGGTTTGGGTGTGCTGGATGCGATAACTCCATGATGACTCCAAGGAGATATAGTAACTATACTATACTGTGACTAATCATTCAAACCTTCATGTTAGGGTCAAAGTTTCAAAGGAGCTGAAGGTGGGGGCGCAGTGAGAAGCCGTAGGATTTCTCTTCAGGGTTCAGGCTGCTGCATGCGGGATTCGAGCACACTCAAGTTTGATGCTTAGGGCCTTAGGGTCTATGGCAGATGACACTTTATAAACATCGAAACATAACACACCCCCGAAACACTGACCCCATCCAAGAAAACAAGCACTCTAACAAAACAAGCCCCCAATTCAAAACCAGCTTACAAGCAACCTGCTAGTTAACACCTTCTAAACAACCTTGCAAGCAGGTGCCTCTTGGAGGCCTTTGCCGCCAGGGTTTGGAAGCTCGCAAGGCCTGGGGCCCAGGCAGGGACAGACCTCACCAATGCCTGGGCTCCGGGGAAAGAAGGTTGGTAGTGTTTTTGGCGGTTGTATCGCTACAATACCGCACAGCTTGGAGAGGATGGCTCCTTTTTTTGCCACGTTGCGTTTCTGTTCCAATCAGTTCTCACAAATCATGCTGGAACATTTGACCAAAATTTCCACACAAGCTTTGAACTAAATTTCTACACCAGCATCTTGAACAAGGTTTCTGTGGTTTTGGACGAGTCGGGCGAGGGTACATGCGCAGGAGGCGGACTCCAAGCCGCGAGGAAATTCCCTCACTTCAAGACGCGTCTGAAGCCGAATGACCCTGCCGCGGCCAAGTCTGAGACCATCCCAAAATCCTGCACACCGACTCCCCGAAGCTTCCAGCTCTTGCGAGAGCAACAAAGAGACTGGATGACGAGGTTTAAGCTCCGAAATACCCAGCAAAGGCCCTGTGAAAACTTCCATGCAAAGTTTCCCGGAGCCGGGAGTTGTTGTGCTTGTTGAAGGTGGCATGGCGCCTGCCATTTCGGGTTTAGAGTTTGGGGCAGTACACACCGAACTTCCAGATATGTTTGGCATACCAACAACCGAGGACCTTAGCAAGTCGCACCGGTTTTTTGGGGATCACCCGCGAGTTTCTGGGTTCAGCTGTGGGCACCGGCTCAAAGCATATCAACGTTGTTTGGCTCACTGTAACCCGTTTGAACTTGTGAAAGTCAAGCAAAACCCTTCAAAACCCGCCAAAAAGACGCAACATGAACCCCTACACGTTGTATAAACCCAAATACACCCTAATGAGCCTTGTAAAACCCAACAAACCACCACAAAACCCGCAAAAACGAGAAACGGGGCACCTAAACCCCTGAACCCCAAGCCCTAAACCCTGAACCCCAAACCCTAAACCCCAAACCCCAAACCCTAAACCCTAAACCCCGAACCCTAAACCCTAAACCCCAAACCCTAAACCCCGAACCCCAAACCCTAAACCTTAACCCTAAACCCCGAACCCTAAACCTTCGGCCTGTAGCGCAGGTGCTCTCGGATGTCCGAGCCATCGTCCGTGGGTGCCAGGCCTCGCTTTCGCAGCGTGCCGACGAGCCTCAGCCGACTGGAAGGTTCAGGGGTTGCTAGGGTTCAGGGTTTTAGGGTTTTGGGGTTTAGGGGTGAGGGGTTTTGGGATTTTGGGGTTTAGGGGTTAGGGGTTTTGGGATTTTGGGGTGTAGGGGTTAGGGGTTTTGGGGGTTTGGGGTTTAAGGGCTTAGGGGTTTTGGGATTTTGGGGTTTAGGGGTTAGGGGTTTTGGGGTTTGGGGTTTAGGGGTTAGGGTTTAGGAGGTTTGGGGTTTAAGGGCTTAGGGTCTTGAGGTTTAAGGGCTTAGGGTCTTGGGGTTTAGGGTTGCGGTTCCTTGAAAGGGAACCCCAATAACACCTTTAGAGGGAGCCCTGTAGTACCCCTTCAAGGGAACCCTATATAGCATCCTTAAAGGGAAAAATATAGTATCCCGTAAAGGGAACCTTTTGGTGCCCTTGAAGGGAAGCCTATAGGTAGCGTTGAAGGGAACCCTACTATAGAACAGAATAGCACCTTTAAAAGGGAACCCTTATTTTTTAACCCTCCTTTGGAAACCATAAACCCAGGCGTCCTGTGGACTTTCTGAATATGGCTGGCATGGTCTGGTTAGCGGGATCTTTACGGGGGAATTGGGTGTAGGGTGTAGGATCCCTCATTGAATTCACCCATAGGGAAGTAGGGAATGGTAGGGAATGAATAATCGTGAACAGCCGAGGGTCTGATTGCAGCTGCCACTCACCGGATGCCCAGTGCAGCGCAAGAAGCGGAGCATGCAGCGCATGGTCTTGTAGTAGTTCCTCAATATTGCATAGGCGTTCGTTGTGGAGACGCTTTTGGGGCTCAACGATCTTTGGGTTCTGGGGCGCAAGACTCAATACCTGTAAGTACGCAAGATTGACATAGTGTGCTGCTATGTGCAGTTTCACGCTCCCTGCAACAACGGCCCAGGGGCCTGAGGGAAGTTGGCTTCTGGGGATAGTTGTGCAGTGCAGGTTCACGGCTTTAGGATTGAAAGTGTGGCCCGTCATAGGTGTCTTTCAGAACCCCAAAATGTGGTCAATGGATAGTCGACAACATCGGCGTACTCAGAATTCAGAAGCTCCCCATGCCCAAAGTCCAAGAAACCGTGCAACTAACACACGAATGCCTCCTCAAGTCCGAGGGACAGGTGCAAGTGATCGACGGAGAGATGCAGCACCCGGGGATCATGGTACGTTTTCACAAACACCTTGTCATTAGGGTTGAGGGCTTTAAGGTAACAATAACAATAGTGATAGTGTTTAGTACATGCTACGGTATGAACTATAACATATACTATAAAACAATATAGCGAGACATAGTATATGGGGTTCGGAGTTGGAGCCTGAGCCACCCATTGGGGAATACGGGCCATGGATTGCCGGCCTGCAGCGCCAAGCCCAAAATTCTGGAGGCCTGAAGCCCTGGCAAGACACCAGCATCCCCAAAAGCCCAAGTGGATAGTTGTCAAAATTAAGGTCCCTTTTTGGGTACCCTAAATAATAGGTGCCGTACTATACTAGGGACCCAGAGAAGCACCATAATTTTGACAACCACCCAAGTAAGGGTTTAGGGGTTTGGGGTTTAGAGTTGAGGGTGGCTCTGAACTGTTCAGGGTCCTTGTGGCTCGAGCTGCAGCACTCTCATGAGCGCGAAAAACCCTACCCACACATCCAACATCCTCTCACTGCAGACTCAAACTAGGCTGAGAAATCCTCTCACGGCAGACTCACATGTTGGCACCTTCGCCATCAGCTGCACTTCAGCACGAATGATCTGGGACGTTATCCTCGACAAGCTGATGGCGTCTGGTGTTTCGGTTTTGAGAACCCTTGACTACGATCTCAAGGACTATGAGGGGATTATGTGCATGTACACTCAAAACCTAGCTGGGAACCAGCTCTGAAACATCAGCTGACTGTATTCAGCAGAACTGCAACATTCCCCCCATAGTACTTGGAGGATCATGGGACTTAGTAAGTAAGGTTATAAGTACCTTAAGGGTTATAAGTATAGTTACCCTAATTATAACCCTAGTTACTAAGTCCCATGATCCTTTAAGTAGGAGCAAGCCTCGCAGACCAGCCCCACCAAGAGTGCTCGGACAATCGCCAATGCTGCCGTCGAGGGGCAACACACCCTGGTCTGGCGGCACTGCATTCAGCCTGGTGGTGTCGCGCAGGTAGGGGATGGGCCTGTGCAATTAGAACAGGGTTTTAGTGCATACTGTACTCTGGAATACTATAACATGTTGGATATTTCTGCACGGAGATTCTCTTCGTGACTACTGCGACCTCTATATTCTCTCCCGCAATTTTTTGAGGGCTGAGGGTGCGGGGCGATTGTCAAAGCTTGAATGGGTCTGGCATGTATGGGCTGAGGCTGAACTCTGGAAAAAGGGAGTTCTGGAGAAGAGAAGCGAAGCTTCATTCTAGCAGCTGGTTTTTTCAGAAGACCGTAATTCTACCACCCCCCCCTTACAGCGTAGACCTGAAAATTACATTAAATCGGAATCTAGTACCATGAAGTTCTAATTCTATGGTACGATATTATGGTTTACCGTAATTTAGTCTACGCTGTTAGGATATTGTAGTTAGATATCTGATAATTCCAAGGCGAGGTGCAGGTCATAGAGCGAGCAAAGCCCTCTGCAGGAAGCCAGGAGGTTCTTCAACTCAACAGAGCCTCAGCTTTCAGCGCCTCCTTCAGAGGTCACTATAAGGGACCTATAGGGGTCTAGCTACTGGGGCTCTATACGGGATCTTTAGCGGTTTGCATAGGGGTTTGGTGTGTGCTATGTGGGCTCTACAAGGGATCTAACAGGGGGGTTAGAGTGGTTCGTGCTTCTGTTCGGGCTGTGGTTGCCACAGTTCGTAACACTTTGTTGTCGCTGTGGCCACAAGTTCCGCGGCCTCGCGGATTCCAGGGCAGGGAGGTGCTTAGGTAGTTTGGGCTGAGGACATCTGGGAAACCCAATTTCCCAAGCCCTAGACCTGAAAGCCTCAAACTCGAACAAAGCCAAGACCGACACACATTTCTCACGAAGAGGAGCTTCAAACAAACCTCCCCCGGAACTAACCCCTAAACCCTAAACCAGAAACCCCTAAACTCTAAACCCTAAACCAGAGACCCCTAAACTCTAAACTCTAAACCCCCAAACCCCTAAACCCCACATCGAGGCACCGGAAAAGCGCAGCGTCTCTCCCTGAGACGCCAGGCCCGGGATGGTGTGCCAAGCAGGGTTCTCATGAAAGACGCTCTGGAGACCTCGGATGAAGAGGGTTTAATCTTTTTTTAAAGGGTGCTTAAGGTTTAGGGGTTTAGCGGTTTAGGGGTTTAGGGCTGAGGGTTCTCGTGAAAGACGCTCTGAAGGCATCGGATGCAGCGGGCTTAGGCTTTGGAGGAGTTCGCGCTTGGTGTTAGGTACTAAGAATCCATGGACCGAAGGTGAAGCCTTGAGAGAAAAGCGTTTTGTACCAAGAGCCTATGACTGAAGGTGACAGAAAAGGACAGTGCAATCTTCAACAGCTGCACGAAAACCGGGAACATACGCTTCACTCGAACCCGGAACCCCAAGTTAATGGACAGCGGAGATGCCGGACAGGTACCGGTAGTAGCTGGCGATCCACCGTGCTGGATCACGATACCTGGGCTCGGAACATCAGGGAAGTTCCTTGGATGTCACCACGGCTAGCTTCCTCACTAGACCTACAATCCCACACATAGCAAACTGACTCGGAGGGCTTTATGCACCCAACGATATCCTTGAGTATTCCAAACTGTCCCATACAGCTCTCGCCCAGCATAAAATCCAAAGCCGGTGCCTGCATTCCATCCTGCTGGCCTTAACCCGCGAGCCAAAAGCCCGACAAAACCGTGAATAATCCGATGGGATCCCATGCCCGCCAAGTCACATGTGGACCATGCGTGAGTTTGCGGGCATTGGCCGCACCACCACGGCACCGGCTCGGTGTGTGGAGACGCGGATGACGTGGGGCTTCGACCATGGCAAGATGTGGACTTGTCGCAGCTTGCCTGGGCTCCGACGACATCTGGGCACTCTTCCTCCTAAGCATGACAACGGTTACTGGGGCCTCAGCCACAGAGAAAACGAGGGCACGTGTTATGTTGTACAGCCGCGCCAAAAAGCATGATGAGGTGCAAACATGACCCCCATATAGAGGAGTTTAGTGCTCGCCCCTCTCCAGGCCCCTAGTTATGACGGCCCTTCTTTAAGCAACAACCCATGGCCCAAGGGTGGTGAGAGCCAAGGAGCAATAGGGCTTACCCACGGGCAGCCGAGACGTCCTCGGCTGCGCATGGCTTTTGCACAGGCTTGCCTGTGTACCCAGAGACTCCAATATCCCTTAATTAAGGAATATGCCTTAAATCATACTGGGGATCCTACTATAATTTAAGGATAATTCCTTATGTAAGGGATATATGTGTCCCTAAGGGTCCAAAGGACCCAATGATTAGGTACTTGGGTTTAGGATAGTAGTTATGTAGCTCAATATTTAGGAGAGTATATGATTATTATGTACTTGGACCCTTAGGGTGCAGGGGCTTAAGCTTCGAGTTTCGGCTTAGGGGTTTAAGGATAGGAATTCAGAAGATGAGACTTCGCTCACGTACTTCGGAAATCAGAATCGAGATCTAGGTTAAGCTTGCTACGGCGCCAGATGCCCGATACCAACCACCCTGGAAACTTCCCATGAACAATCTTCACACTGCAACGATAGGCATAGCCATAACTAGCATTGGGAAGCATCATGTGAAGAAGACCACGATGATGATGACGATGATGATGATGATGATGATGGCGGTGGCGAGTGTTTGTTTAGTATGCTCACGATGACGTTTGCGCAGTCCCCTTCTCAAAAATCCACTGGGCTCTCAACGCTCTACCTCACGTCTATCCGAGGCACTGGGGCAGCTGCAGACGCTTAGATCCCAGTTCGGTGAAGCTCCAGCAGCCCTCGGAATTCCCTCGGTGCGGCCCCGAAACCTCCGAGGCTTCGTCAAAGAGCAAAACGAGCCACCCCCTTCATGGGTATCCCTACCCTACAAGGGGCTATATAATGCGTATATACTAGCTATGTTAAGGTCGCATGCCTAGGAGTGGTCCCTCCTTGCATCCTTGGATTCAAGATTTCTGGTGTGCTTTTGGGTTTCTGGCTTCAGTGTTTAGGGTGTATCTAGAATCCAGTCCTGGTTTCAAGGCTTATGACTTATGATGCTTTCAGGTATTGGGGGAGGACCGGGATACGAAGCTCAACGATTGAACAGGTGTTCGGGTTTCACGGTTAGGGTATGACACGATAGCAACCTGCGATCCGTCAGGCACTCTTTCGTAAACTCATCATTCAAAGGGGGAAAGGAGGGACCCTTATTGAGGGTCCCTCCTTTTACCCTTGGAATCATCACATGTCTAGTCTCCTCTGAAGCAGACGGGTTGAATTCGGGCGCTTGGGCTTGGTTCTACTGGGCTTACAGGCTTACAGAGTCGGGTTTAGAAAGCGCTGTCCGAACGAAGGCCTCGATTCGACCCTAAAAATTGAAAGCCCCAACAATGGAAATCCCTAAAAATTGAAACCCCCCCAGAGAACCCTTTAGCCTGAAGCTTCGGGGTCTTCTGGGGAGTCTGTGGCCTGCGAGAGGAAGAACCTCACAAAGTTCCGGCCCGTCTTGCTGTACACCTCGGCCATTCAGGGTTGCGTGCATCTTGAACTGCGAACCTTGACACCTTCCATCTGTTTGCATGGGGCAGAGGTGGAGGGTTTCGTACAACTTGGGACTTTGGAACATTGCGACGACTTGTTCAGTTCAGGCTTTAGCTGACTCCAGCCTTGGACGCTCCGTTTCTGGGTGCCCCAGAAACGTTAAGGCTTCGAGGTCTGTCAGAGCTTCCAAGATTTGCCGGCTCAGGGTGCTGTGTTCTAAAGTCTTTTGGAAAAGGCTTCCCTCGAAGAATTCGAATCTGGTGTCGGTGTCTGTTGCAGCATGCTTCTAAAAAAGGACCCTGTGGAGCACAATGGGCAATTCTGCTGGCACCTATAGAGGAAGGCTTCAGGGTTGCCTGGTTCGTGACTATCCCCAATTATATAGCGCCAGGCCTATAGAAACCCTACACCTTCACACCCTCTCAACCCTAATCTGCCTTAAACCATATATTCCTGAATCCTAAGCCTCCAAGATCCTTCCCCCTCTCTAGACTAGGTAGCTTTCTAAATTAGGGTCCCTAGAACCCAAGCCCGGCAAGCGTAAACCCCTAAATTCTATAAACCCTACTTAAAGGATCATGGGACTTAGTAACTGGGGTTATAATTAGGGTAACTATACTTATAACCCGAATTTGGGTACTTATAACCTTACTTACTAAGTCCCATGATCCTCCAAGTAAACCCAAGACTCCCAAACCGGGGGCCCAGGCGCAAGGAAGGACACGGCCAGCTGACGCTGGTCCCGCGCCTTCCGCCATCTCACCTCAAAGCGAAGCGAACTTTAGGGGTCTTTCAAGGTGAGAACAGGGTTCCTTTCAAAAGTTGCCTGTAAAAGGGATCTACAAGGATGTTGTCATGGGGTTTAGGGCAGGAGCCTTCATAAAACACACACACACACACACACGGACACGCGCACACACACACGCGCACACGGACTGCGGCCAAGTCGGCGATTGCTTGTGCAGGTTGTAGTGCACAAACAGAAACCCTCGACAAACGCCCTAAACCCCTAAAGCCTAATCTCTCAACCTAATCCCTAAATCCTAAACCCTAAAACCCTGAACCCAGAACCGTAATGCCAGAACCCTAAGGCCTCTTTCGTGGAGGCAGTTGCAGGCAGCTCGACCAAAGGCCGCCTCAGAAAGCCGCTTCGAGGAGGCTGGGTGCCTGTTTTATTTACGGGTCTCGGTGTTTGGGGTTTCGGGACGTTTAGCGTTGAGGGTTTAAGGTTTACAGTTCAGTGCTTAAGGGGGGGTGAGCGGTAGGACGGGATTTAGTAGGGTTTAAGGGAATTGGGGGTGTAGAGAAGGTTGTAAACGCTCCTACTACGGGTCGTATAAAGTCATTACCGTCGGCTGCGACTTGGAACGTTTGGCACTCGGGCTTTACCGCACTGGGCTTTGCGGCCACTGAAACTGCTGCCTGTTGGAGTTCAGCACGATGCTTGAGGTGTCAGGAATGTGATCTAGGGTGTGGCTGTGAAAGGCTTAGCAGCACTTGGCCAGCAAGCCTTCTGGCTTTCAGGGCGGCAAGCTGCTAGTGTGCGCGAGTTAATTAGGCGGCATGAATGGCAAACAAGACTCAGCCTTGAAGTAAGTTGTATCGGATCTCCAACTACACAGGGCTGAGGTCTTCCCTGTTGGGCGTTAGGCAGGGTGTGAATGAAGCATGTGTGTGTTCGGGGTTTCAGCAGTCGACAAGATTGAAACCAAACATCCCCAACAAAACCTGCGGCCAAAGCTGCTGAGTGATGTCCGCCAGCAGTGGTGCTAAGTCGAGGTGATCCTGGCTGCTGACATTACAGCCTTGAATTTCGAATCTGGCGTGCGAAATTATCTAGGACAGCAATTAAGGATGTCAGTTTCGAGCTCGCGAGATACGCGAAGGCAATGACTAGGTTTAGACTTATTTTTTTCATTTACACTGTATGTGATGCATGATCGCAAGAACGCCAACAGATGATGGAAGAAACACGGCCCCGAATAAACATCAGTTTCGAGCTTTAGAGCTACAGTGTAGTTTAATACCAAAACATATGACCCAGAAGCTGAGTAAGTTCAACGCGGCTCAAGCCACAAGTTCATTCCGCGCACGATGTGTCAAGTTGTTACCACGATTATGGCTTGGCTCTTTAAAACGACTGAAACAGCAGTCTTCATCATCTTTGCTCCATGGTCACATTCTCAACGGCGGCCACCGTGCCACTAGCTTTGCACATGGAATGTACCATGAACCTTTCCTACCCGCAGAACTGCTCTGGAACCTGCACCATTGCCTTAAAGCCTGAAACCCCCGCCACCACTAGCATGACACCATGCAAGACCATAGCTCCAAAACGCAGACACCCAAGCACCAAATCCTACAACATAGCCCAGGCCAGTTAGAGCCCACATGGGCTTCATTCAGGTTTTAGAACACACGGTATAAAGCTTTGGGCCTTCTTCCATAAGATTTAAGATCGCGCATGGCCCTGCTATCCGAACTGACACCGCGCTGCTTGTGTCAGCAAGAGTTGGCAGTCGTACCCCCAGCTCCGCCAAGCCGACACGATGGTAAAGATCATGGGACTTAGTAAGTAAGGTTATAAGTACCTTAATTGGGGTTATAAGTACCTTAATTGGGGTTATAAGTATAGTTACCTTAATTATCACAAGCTTATTTGTTTAACCTTCTCCAACCACGACGTCTTCTCCTTGGGGCAAAGGCGAAATTGCCGTGGCCGATCGTACCGCGCCACAGATGAAATCTGCTTCCAGCGCAGGGGATGAACTTCGTGCCATGTTTGCGCTTTTGCACCACGATCTGTTGCAAGGGTTGCCAGCACAGTTGCTGGTCAACTCCCAACACCTCTGATGGGTAGTTGGCCTCAGAAGATTTTCAACCTTCCTACTTGAGTGCATCCAACTGCGGACCCACTGCAGTTCCCTGCAAACCATATGCAAATCCGACAAGCGGCATGTCTGGACGCAGGTTTTGCGCATTGAGAAGGTTTTGGGGGGGTATCTTATACTTTGCTTATAAGAATAAGGAACAGCCAGAATAATTAGTATAGGTAATTGTTAAGGCCCCTCTAGTGAGCTTAAAACTTAGGCCCTTTTCAGTCCTGCCAGGCTCGCTGTCTCAGCTCGGAGACCCACTGGAAGCAGGGCACACAGCGCTGGAATCGTGCCTTGCTTGGAGGTTCATGGGTATAGTTATAAGTAGGGTTATAAGTAGCGTAACTATACTTATAACCCATATTAGGGGAAATGATAGCTACCCATGAACCTCTAAGTATCCGGCCACGGACTCTGGGTGCTTCTGGGGCATTCTGCTCCTCGCCTTTCAAACCCTAAAGGAGCCCTCAGGCTTGAACCGAAGACCTCACACTGATAAGGGTGGTTGTCAAAATTAGGGTCCCCTTTTGGGTCTTGATTATAATATGGCACCTAGTAAGTAGGGACCCAAAAAGGGACCTTATTTTTGAAGACTACCCATAAGGATTGTCGTATGGATCCTCAGGCTGAGGGTCCATTCAGCAGGGAATCGGAATCTTTGAGCCCCTAAACCCTACACCCGAAGCAAAGTATGGATCCTAAGGCCAAGGCCCATTCAGAAGGGAATCGAAATCTTTGTATAAACCCTAAACCCGGAGAAAAGCATGGATCCTAAGGCTAATGCCTTTTCTTAGAAGGGAATCGGAATCTTTGAGTCCATCAGAGTCGACCTCAAAGTGAAAAGTCATGTCTGCAGCTAAGGGCACCAGCGTGGCCGCTCGGCCGAACGGCGTTGGGCCGTAGATGCACCAGCTCGTCTTGTTGCAGCCTTGGGCTCTATAGCAAACAGATCCGCTTTGGAAGAAAACTTGACATGCTATAATTTGTGCATGCGCACAGATTGTAAGGGAATGCTTCGATCGAATCGTTCACGAATAAAGAAACAAGACTGATGTTGCACCACTGCAGTCTATACAATACGCCGAGCAATATCCCAAACACTGCAAAAAGACGGCCTCATAAACTCTACGCTCCTGCAACGCTTCTGGGAATTTGAAATTTTGGAAATAGCGCCACAGGCCTATCTGCGAATGGTTGTCGGGGTTCAGGGCTGTGGCTTTGACGGGGATTTTGTTCTGGCTTCAGAGTTAACCATAGGCCCCATAATGGTTCCTTTTGGGGTTCATATTTAGAATCCTTTCAGGTAATCCCCCAAAGGAACTACTATGGGGCCTATGGGAAGTTTAGGAGTTGAAGTTCTGAGGCTCAACATCTACGCGATGTCGCTCGAGCCTCTATGCAGAATTCTGCGAACCGGGTCTTCGGGGTTTTAGGGCTCTTTGTGTTCAGCGCCTTTGGCATTCCAGGATTTGAGGGCAGTTGTGGCCACCGTAAAACTATAACCCCCCTTAGAACGATAATATAAACTGTATGGTTAATATTCTCTTGGGCTTTATATGAACAGAAATAAAAGATAATTCTTAAGGAGACTATAGGAAACGGGCTTTCCTTTCTTGGGCTTCAGGGTCGCAGCCATCAGATTTCAGGTCATCCCAGGCACGGAGATACACGGAACGACAGGGAAGAGACCCTAATCCCCGAAACTCTACTTAAAGGATCATGGGACTTACTTAGTTACTATGGTCATAGTTAGGGAAACTATACTTATAACCCCCATTACGGTACTTATAACCTTACTTACTAAGTTCCATGATCCTCCAAGTAAACCCAAACGCTACACCGTGGTTTTAGGGTTGGGCAACTCGAGCTCTGGGGTGTCGGCTGCCTTGGAGCTGTAAGGCCGGATTTCCAAGGCCAGAGTGCTTGAGACTTTAGGCTTCGGGTACAGAGGTCTACTTAACCTATTACAGCAGGGTCTAGGCTTTTGTGCTCCTAAACCCTGAAACCCTAAACCTTAAACCCTAAACCCAAAACCCTAAAACCCTAGGGGTTAGAGTTTAGAAACCTTAAACCCTAAACCCAAAACCCTAAAACCCTAGGGGTTAGAGTTTAGAAACCTTAAACCCTAAACCCAAAACCCTAAAACCCTAGGGGTTAGAGTTTAGAAACCTTAAACCCTAAACCCAAAACCCTAAAACCCTAGGGGTTAGAGTTTAGAGACTTTCTTTTAGATTTAGGTCCTTGAAGAAGCTTGGGAGCAGCCCCCCGAAGGCCCAAGAGGCTTCACAACTTCTAAGTCTCACATACAAGCCTTTGGTCCCCAGAAATAGAAAGAACAGCCCTGAAGCAATTACAGTATACAACTAACATGCTATAATAGTACTATTTACTAAACCTAAGAGTAATCTATGAAAAAAGGGTGCCCTTTTTGGTTTATAGGGTGTTATAAGGGAACCTGAACCCATAAAAAGGGAATAAGGGCCTACTCTGGGTCCTAGTTTACTATTTCATTCATAATATATCATACTAGATCATATTCCCGACCCCGAAGACCCGGTGCAGAGCCAGCCAAGTGGCAACTGCTGGCCCAGTCCACGCAGGATCGCCAGGCGCAGCCCAGGCTCACCGAGGTTCCTCCGAAACACTGAGCCTGTCGGGTTAAGGTTTAGGGTTTAGGGTTTAGGGCTTAGGGTTTAGGGCTTTGGGTTTAAGGTTTAGGGCTTAGGGTTTAGGGTTTAGGGTTTAGTGCTTAGGGTTTAGGGTTTAGTGCTTAGGGTTTTGGGTTTAGGGTTTAGGGTTTAGGGTTTTGGGTTTAGGGTTTAGGGCTTAGGGCTTAGGGTTTAGGGTTTAGGGTTTAGGGTGCCAGTCGAGTGAGTAACATAGGGCCTGAAGTAATTTATTTCAATTGGAACTGGGCTTGGGGAGCACATTATGCCAAAATGAAGCATGGGGAGCACTAATGAATAATGTAGGTGTAATTCATTTTTCAGGCTTCTATAACATGATGGCTTTGGGGAATGGGGTTCAGGATTTCAGTTTCGGTTTCCTGAACTTTGAAGTAACCACGGAGAGAAAACATAGACGTTCATCTCACAATGGCTCCTATTCAAGGAAGAGGTCCAACAACGGGTATTTAAGCATGGTACTCCAGATCTCCGTCCAACGCCGTTTGGGGGGTTGGTAGTGTCACGTTGATGATGGAAGCCCGGTGGAAAGGCGCCCAAGGGTTTGTGGTGTCCTTGGGGCCTCAGGAGAAACCTCGGGCTTGACGGTTCAGAGGTCACGGTTTAAGGTTTAGGGTTTAGGGTCCCCGAGGATTCTAGTTTGTGTTGCACACGTGGGCAATCACTTGGATGCATTCTACATAAGACTCGCTCCAGGTCCGGTAGAGGCACGAACCGCAAGGCAGCAAGCAGAGGATTTCAGCTTTTCGAACGCAAGTACTACAACCACGACGTGAGTCGAAACAGCTGCCCCGCATCATTTCTGCATGCTCTGCACTGAAAACACTCTTCGGCGGCCTTGACTATCCACCAGAACATGTAAGCTACTACAACCCGGCCGAAGAGTCAGATCAGGGAGCAAAGCACAGAGAGCCCAGGAACAATCTGAACACAAAACCCCAAACCCATGACTCTCATGTAGGGGGCCTTAATATGTTATACTCTTAAACTATACTTATAATAAGGAACCCCCCAAAAAATAGTATTGGTAATTATTTGAGGCCCTATAGTAACTCTAATGTAGGGTCCTTAATATGTTATATTATAGTCACCATAGTTATAATGAGGAACCCCCCAAAATAGTATTGATAATTGAGATACGCCCCTATAGTAGCTCTACCCATAGGCCCCAAAGTAGTTCCTTTTTGGGGGATTACCTTATAGGGTTCTATATACGAACCCCAAAAAGGAACTACTTTGGAGCCTTAGGGTAATGGGAGAGAAACCCCATAGCTTTATTGTCGGGGGCCTTAATATGTTATACTGTTAAACTATAGCTGTAATAAGGAACCCCCCCAAAACAGTATTGGTAAGTATTTCAGGCCCCAAAAAAGTAACTCTAATGGGAGAGAAACCCCTAGGGCCCCAAAAAAGCACATAAGCAAAAATTAGGGTTTGGGGATATCCCATATAAATCCCCTTATAATGAAGCCCAATAAGGTAGGGATATCCCCATAAAATGCTTATGCTTATGTGCTTTTTGGGGTCCCCAACCCCACCCAGCCTGCTGCTCCGATCCGGCGGGGGGACAGCGCCAAAGCTCTCGCGGCACTCCGCTGAGCTCCACATGCTTGCCTCCACTTAAAGGATCATGGGAGTCAACTAGGGCTCCTTAAAGGGATCCTTATAAATGGGGTCTACTTAAAGGATCATGGGAGTTAGTAACTAGGGCTCCTTAAAGGGATCCTTATAAAGGGATCTAGAGGGGTTCTATCATAAGAGGGGTTTATGGGGTCTACTTAAAGGATCATGGGAGTTAACTAGGGCTCCTTAAAGGGATCCTTATAAAGGGATCTAGAGGGTTTCTATCATAAGAGGGTTTATAGGGTCTACTTAAAGGATCATGGGAGTTAGTAACTAGGGTTATACTTTAAAGGGCTCCTTTAAAGGGGATCTATAGGGTTCTATTATAAGAGGGGTTTATAGGGTCTACTTAAAGGATCATGGGAGTTAGTAACTAGGGTTATACTTTAAAGGGCTCCTTTAAAGGGGATCTATAGGGTTCTATTATAAGAGGGGTTTATAGGGTCTACTTAAAGGATCATGGGAGTTAGTAACTAGGGTTATACTTTAAAGGGCTCCTTTAAAGGGGATCTATAGGGTTCTATTATAAGAGGGGTTTATAGGGTCTACTTAAAGGATCATGGGAGTTAGTAACTAGGGTTATACTTTAAAGGGCTCCTTTAAAGGGGATCTATAGGGTTCTATTATAAGAGGGGTTTATAGGGTCTACTTAAAGGATCATGGGAGTTAGGAACTAGGGTTATACTTTAAAGGGCTCCTTTAAAGGGGATCTATAGGGTTCTATTGTAAGAGGGGTTTATAGGGTCTACTTAAAGGATCATGGGAGTTAGGAACTAGGGTTATACTTTAAAGGGCTCCTTTAAAGGGGATCTATAGGGTTCTATTATAAGAGGGGTTTACAGGGTCTACTTAAAGGATCATGGGAGTTAGTAACTAGGGTTATACTTTAAAGGGCTCCTTTAAAGGGGATCTATAGGGTTCTATTATAAGAGGGGTTTATAGGGTCTACTTAAAAGACCATGGGAGTTAGTAACTAGGGCCATAGTTAGGGTAACTATACTTATTATCCCAATTAATTCAGGTAATTATAATCTTATTTGCTAAGTCCCATGAGCCTCCAACATCGACATGATAGTATCACGACGCCCACAACAGATGCAGTGCTGCAACAACACGCGGGCACCTCTACGCATGTTCTGACTATGAGGTTCGCGGCGGGACTGGCAAGAACCTCTCATTGATCACAAAGACTAAAACAACTTTCAGCGATTCCCGAGTGTTTGATTTTACTCTGAGTGGGCATCTATGCGATGAGATTAAAAACACGCCCTGGAGAGAAGAGGGGAGAGGCCTGAAGCAGATTTTCTTCAGCCTTTTGGCCTGGCCGTGAAGGGAGGAGAAGCCTTACCAAGGTAAGATCACAGAGCCGCTGCTGCTACGTTTTCCTAGGGCTCCAGTGACTTAAATAGTAGGTTACTAACCATATATTTAGGCAACTGGAGCCCTAGGGTTTAGTTTTTGTTAGTCGCACTCATGAACTCAGGCATGAACAGCACTATGCTTGGTGACTAGTAGAACTAACCCTGTTATTGCTCTTGTCACAAGTGCCAGCGATACCATTCTCATCAGGCCTTCCCAGCCAGAGCAAGAAGCGCCTGGGCATGAAAAAAATTCAGGGTTTAGGGGCTCAGGGTTGGGTTTATGGCTTAGGCTTAGGGCTCCGGGTTTGTTTAGGGTTTAAAGAAGCTTATGGCTTTCAGAGCATGAACCTCGGAGACAGGCCCGACGAGCGAGAGCTGGTTCATACACGCCCTGCTTCAGCACGACACTCACTGTAGGCTTCGAAATAAGCAGGAGCTCATGACCTTGCTGCATGTTGACAACGTAGGTATATATATATATATATGTATGTATATACACATATAATATATGTTTTTTGTATATATATATATATATATATATATATATATATATGTATGTATGTATGTATGCATGTATGTATGTATGTATGTATGTGTGTGCATGGATAGAAAAGTGCAGCGTGCATAAATGCACACAGTGCAGAAGCACCCATCGGTATTGACACTGTCACACGTATGTACAAAACTATATTGCTGTATTCGCTTACAAAAGTGTAGACCCAACTGTACGAGTGCTCTGAAGGAGGATGGCAGAACAGCGACACATGCCATGCTGGCACGATCAGTACAAGACTGCGACACCTGCAGCCTGCAGCTAAGTCGTACCCTCAGCTTCAATTCCACCAGCATTTCGACGAGGAGAAGCCACCAAATCCCACATCTTGAACTTGAAAACCTCTACCACCTAAGCGCACCGAGTGGCGACAGACCTCCTCTGCCGGCTCTCGCATGTGGACCAAGCCGTCCCAGGCAATCAAGCCGCACGCTTGCAAGCCTTAGATTTTTCCTCCTTGTCCAGGATCGTCTTAAGGGAGCGAAAGGTTATTCTTAGTTGAAAGACCCCAGACCCCGGACCTTGCAACCGAAAACCTCAAACCCAGCGAGCCCCAAACCCGTGTTTTAGGTTATACTCACGTATACAGTACGTAGCCTCTGTTGTCTCGGGTTACCTAGTTTTGATGAAGCCTGTTCTGAAGCAACTCTCCGTCGGGCTGCAGGGCGATGCGTCCGCCGCCGTCGCAGTCGCGCCATTGAGGAAGGCCAGTGCCCCGACGCCCATTTGGAGGGGGTTTGGGGGCTTGCTGGATTTTGGAACTTCGGTGCGTGGAAGGTGTAGGGGTGCAGGACTGTGGTCAAGCGTGTTGCTAGAGCATTTATGCCCACCCTGCATACAAACCTACTTATATACTATCTTTCCTGATCCTCCACGTGGGTTCAGCGGCATGCGGGTATCGAGGAAATTCATGCACGAGGCTCTGTCCGCAAGGCTCTGAGCTGAGCTATCGACAACTTTTGTCCCAGAAACTTGGGATCCCTGACGTTAGCTGGGATGAGTATTTCGGGGGGTCCTGCGGCCTAACACTGGGGCATCCGGTGTTTTGTCGCTTCAACCTCCCCCTGAAGCTGAGCCAAAGCCGGTGATGTATAGTTCTCAGCGCCATTAGGCTTTATAAATCCCTAAACCCTAAACCCTAAACCCTAAACCGCATTTATAAAGGCCGAGATACCCTCAGGCTCAGGGTTCACGAAAACATCGCCAGCTCATCCCCAACTGCTCAACAACCTCTCGAATGAAAAATCACGGATGTAGGGCTTGGGAGGTCATGAACCTCAAGAACATGTACACATATATAAGCCCTAAGCCTGCACCCTAACCCCGCAAACTCCTAAACTCAGGCTAAGCGCTAGTTCCGAGAAGAGACGCCGAGTAATTCTCGGGGCATGCTAGGGAAGGGTATCGGGTTGTTCCGCCGGGGGTGTTGGGTTTAGGGCTGTGGACTTTGTGGGATTCTACTGCAGTAGGTTATGCGCGAGCCATTCTGTTCAGAAGCTAAAATCTTCACACAACGCCAACGTGCAGATCGATCCTGTGGGTTTTGCTGCCACAACCCGTAAAGCCGATGGCAACCGCCCTACGAAAAACAATGTTCGGCTAATCTGTCACGCTTGTGAGTGTTCCGGGACGGCTTCAACGCCATCTACAGTATGACTGTTGTTGAAGATGCAGACTAGGAGAGCTGCATAAAGCCCGGCGTCTAAAGAAGTCCCAGCCAAACACACGTTTAGTTTCCCGCAAGACCACGGCTGAAGAAACTCTCAAACCCTAAACCCTATAAACCCTAAACCCTAACAACCCGTATCCTCCCTAAATCGAAGGGCCTGTGCCGTCGCCATCCCTTGGCTTCCGGCCCTTGCCCGGCTTTGCCTGCAAGATGGGGTTTGGGGTTTGGTAGGTTGCGGAATGAGGGTTTAAGGTTTGGGGTTTGGGGCTTAGGGTTGAGGGCGTAGGGCACGGGAAAAATTGGAACAGGATTGAGATTCAATATGTCAGGATTCGGCGATGTCGGGCTAAAGGGTTCGCGGTCAAGTTGTGCCTCAGCTTGCAGGTGAACCGTGCTGAAGGTGTCGATATGCGAGCGGTAAATCTTAGGCTTGAAGGGGGCGGGTTTTAGATTTCGGCGCGTCCCTCATTCTCGGCAGGGTTGTGCCTTGGAGGTTCGTGGGTAGTTACAAGTGGGGCTATAAGTCCCCTACTATGGGTTATAATTATGGTTACGCTACTTGTCGCCCCACTGAGTACTACCCATGAACCTCCAAGTTTTCTTGAGAGATGCCTACTTCGACGACAAAGTGTAATGCGCTTCCCGGAAATACATCGGACATACCATGAACGAAAGCTGCTGATGAAGCTATGCATAAAGCTACGTACCACGAAGCCCCACCAAGGTTCAGGTGCTTGAATGTAAAATCGTGAGTGCCATGAAGGCTCAGGGTCACACCCTAAGTCTTCCTAAGTTCCAAGATCAGAATCTCCGTGTGCCAAGGTGCAGCGTACTTTCCAGCCACTCCTATGAACTTGGAACTGTATTAATCGGCCGAATTAAATCCGGAGCTCCAAACGCTAGGCGACGTTAAAACGTAAGCGGAAAATTGCAGGCGTCGCGGCCTGGAATCTACGCCACAGGCGCACGCCTTCGTGGGATCGGACCTGTCCGGCTCTTTACAAGACCCGGCTGGTTTAGGTTTTCTGGTCTACTTTCCGGGTCCCCTAAGTGCGGGGGTTCGGAGCCTGAAGCTTCACCTTAAATACTACCATAACCTACTTCTTTGTAGGTTCTTATTCTTACTATATACATATAACCAAATATAATCAATCAAAACAAGTTCTGGTTCAGGGTATTAAAGGCTTGTAGCAGCTGAAGTACTCAGTCAGGTGGATTTGTTTTTTTTGTTTAGGCTTCCTCATGTACTGAGGCTTCTGCGCGTTCGGGCTTGTGGATTTTTGTCCGCCACAGTTCTCCAAGCCGTGAGCTCTGAAACATCCCTGAAACTTGGTCCTTGGAAGCCGAACCCTAGAGCAACAAACCGTAAAACCCTGAATCCTGAACCAACCCACAAACCCTTCACGCCAAAAGCCCGAAAGCCCTAAAGCCTGAAAGTCCTTTCCCCAAGCCCGAAATCCAGAAAAACTAAACCTCCAAATCCCTCAAGCCCCAGACCCCAAAACCCTGAACCCCGGTTCAAGGTTTAGGCTTTAGGGTTTCGGCTCTGGGGATTTTAGGTTTAGGGTCTAGGTTTGAGGGCTTAGGGAAAGCCTTCGACTTGGGAAACGAAGTCTCGCTTGGCTCCAAAATCCTTCCCCACAAGTCGCGGCCCGTCCTCTCCGACGTAGATGAGCTGGACTAGCTCCTCCCGGGGGAGGGTTGGGGTTTGGATTGCTTTTTGGTGATCTAGGGTTTAGGGTTTTACAGCTTCTCTAAACCTAAGAGTAGCCTAGGAAGAAAAAGGGTGCCCTTTTTGGTTTATAGGGGGTTATAAGGGAACCTGAACCCATAAAAAGGGAATAAGGGCCTACTCTGGGTCTGGGGTAGGGTCTTAGGGTTTGGTGTTAGGGTTTGGGTGCCCGGAGCTACGGCCCCAAAGAAAGGCACGGTTTATGGAGCACTTGGAGGTTCATAGGTAGTGATAAATGGGGTCATAAGTCCTCTAATATGGCTTTCAATGATGGTGACCACACTTATCACGCCATTTATAACTATAACTACCCATGAACCTCCAAGCATGAAGTCCCATGGTGACCACACTTATCACGCCATTTATAACTATAACTACCCATGAAAGCATGAAGTCCCTACAGCTGTTTCAGGGCCCCCACAAGAGCTCTTTCGGGGTCCGGGCTTGTCCTCGGTTTTTGGATGTATCAAAACTCTAGGCCCCAGTTCGGCCCCACCTCTGATCCAGAACCCTACACTCCAAAATTAAAGTGCTAAATCTTGCTTAACTCTGTCCCTTTTTGGGTACCCTACATATTAGGTGCCGTATTGTAAGAAGGACCCAAAAAAGGGACCCTAGTTTTGACAGCATGGGAACCAGGGCAGGGTAGGAATTCTAGTCCCATGTATAAAGGCTCTGCTCGACATCAGATCAGGGCTCCCGGGAGGTGTAACCCTAAGCTCTCCAAGAGGCAATTTACGCGGGAGTTCCCCCAAAACCCTAACCCTAAACCCTGAAACCCTAGGCCCTAAACCGAAACTCGAAGCTCTCTACATCTCCCGACCCCACAGCCCGGAGTCGCTGTTCCTCCCCCGTCTCGCCTTGTCTTCCTGCTCCTCGAAAGCGCCGCTGCGCTCGGCTTGGCGGGTGTTGGACATGCCCTCGCGATCAGGACGATGATTCAAGCAGTTTTAGGTCGCCGAAATCGGTTTAGGGTTTAGGGTGAGCTTACTTGAAGAAGTATAGGTGCAAACTGGGGTAGCTATACCTATAACCCCAATTAAGGTACTTATAACCTTACTTACTAAGTCCCATGATCCTCCAAGTATGGGTGCAAATGACAAGACCCCAACTCTTCTATGCATGAACATGCACGCAAACCCGTAGGCCCTTCAAAACATCGACTCTCAACCCTCAGCTCCAGAATGGCGTGTTTAGGGCTTTTGGATGATACGGTTGATGATATAAATCCTGCATGACCCATAATAAGGAATATACTATAATTCCCATAGTTTAGGGTCATTAAGGTAATGCAGGATTTATACCATCAACAGTATGAACTGGGTAGTATAGGAACCTGATTAAGAAACCTTGGGCCTTGAAGAGGGTTCCTTATAAGAACCCTATTACTTTGGTGTTATAGGCCCAGGGTTTCTTAATCAGGCTCCTACATTAGCCTAAAAGCTCGCATCCTGAAGCGCTTGAGGCTTAGGCTTTACAGGAAACTTGCTGACCCTACAACCAAACTCTGACGATCTTTGGCAGTGGCTTTCCTGACTTACGCAAGCACACGAGAACTCAAAGCCACCTGGGTGTTATCCGATTGCTTAAAGGATCAGGGGACTTAGTAACTAGGGTTTTAATTTGGGTAACTATACCTATAACCCCAATAAGGTACTTATAACCTTATACTTACTAAGTCCCATGATCCTCCAAGTGTGCAGAATTTCGTGTGTGCCGGGCGTTATCTATCCAAAGTTAGGTGACATCACTGCGTAGGAGGAGAAGCTGAAATATGACGGCGCTTGCAGTTAACTCCGGGCATTTGCTTGTGACTCCTGCATCCCAAAACCATCCCCACTAAAAAACTCGGCGACCTCATTCACGGAAACGATGAAACATGAACACTACGAATCCTAAGAGCCTCCACCACGACTCGGAACAGCCCTTCGAGCGCGCCGTAAACCTCCAAAGCCCTAGAACCCAAAACCCTGAACCCTAAACTCTGAATTAACCATACCTTGAACTTCTACAGCCCGACGTCCTGAATATCCCGAAACCTTAACAAACCCCGAAAACTCCAAACCCTAAACTCTGAAACCTCTAAGCCCTAAACCCCTGAAAAAGAAAACTCAAAACCCTAAACCCTGAAAACTCTAAAACCCCTATGCAGGATCGCAAAGGCCAAGGGAGAGACCGGCTGGGAAACATCAGCCGGGTTCCAAAGCTGTCGCTTCTGGGGGGGTCCTTTAGGGTTTGGGGTTTAGGGTTTAGGCTTGAGGTGTTTCTGGGGGATTGGGTTTTTAGGGGTTAAGGTTGAGGGTTGAAGGTTGGTTATTTTAGGCTTTCAGGGTTTGGTCTTTAGGGTCTTGGAAGGCCATGGGGATCGGCTCTGGTAAAGGAGGGATCCGATTGCTCGGGGTCTGGGTTGGGGTTTAGAGTTGTATGGGGCTGAGGATGTCGGGATGTAAGGTAAGAAATCCTGACATGCTCTTTGGAAGATGGGCTTTTGGAATCCTGCCCGGTGCGGGATCGGCCCCGCTGCCCCCCGCGGTCTTCACGGGGGCTGGATTGAACCGAAAGGTTGGCGGGTTGGCAAGCAAGCTTCGAAGCTTGAGCTCCTCGTGCCGCAGTAAAGTCTTACCCAAAGACTCCAAAGTAGCTCCTTTTTGGGATTACCTTATAGGCTTCTAAATATGAACCACAAAAAAAGAACTACTATGGAGCCTCTATAGGTATGTTTTAGAAGCTGCCCCCACCCTGTAATAGTGACTATAAGGATTGTATATAATTATATTAGGGCCCTATTATATTCCTATTATACCACTATTACAGGGTGGGGGCAGCTTCTAAGGTATGTTCATCTCAGGCAGTTTTACGTGTAGGGCTTGAGGTTGATGAACGTACGAAATTGAGGCTTCGGGAGGTGTGTTAACAAAAGGAGACACGCTTCAGGTTCGAGGATCCTCTAGCCCGAACCGAAACCGCAATTTAGGGTTTAGGGATGTTTAGGGTTTAGAGATGTTTAGGGTTTAGGGTTTTTAGGGGTTTAGGGGTTTAGGGTTTAGGGTTTTAGGGTTTAGGGGTTTAGGGGTTTAGGGTTTAGGGTTTAGGGGTTTAGGGTTTAGGGGTTTAGGGGTTTAGGGGTTTAGGGGTTTAGGGGTTTAGGGGTTTAGGGTTTAGGGTCCTTGAAACATCTCAAATCCAAGCCCTGGCCCCGAGACAATCAGGGTTCGTCTTTCGAAGCCTCGCGGCGCGGTGAAGCTGCACCACAAGTGCCGGTGAAACCAGTGAGACACAAATTCATGGAAGTTCGGGTCGTTGCTATGTTCATGCTGAAATTTTGGGGGTGGGGTGCTAGGGTTTGTAGGGCTCAGTCAGGACAACTATGATATGACTTGCGATGACAGCTAGGCTGCGGACATCACCTAAAGCCACCGCCATGAATCCTAAATTCTCTGAATCCCCAGAAACCCCTAACGTCCCTAACGTCCCTAAACCCTACAAACCCTAAAGCCTGGCCTTCGAAGCCTACGCCCTGAGCCCTACTTCGAGCATCGAGTCAGACGCTGAGCAGCGCATGCTTCGTGAGGAGGACTCGGCAGGGGAGGAGTCCCAGCTCGGACCCTTATTTTGGGGTCCATATAATAAGGATCCTATTATTTAGGGTACTATATGGGAGTTTCCAAAAAACTGGGAAACATGTTCAGGGAGGTTAGGGTATAGGGGGATTAGGGCTTTGGGGGTTTAGGTTCAGGGAGTTTAGGGTTTAGGGGTTTAGGGCTTTGGGGGTTTAGGTTTAGGGGTTTAGGGGTTCAGGGGTTTAGGTGCTTTCGGTTCAGGAGTCTGTACTGTTGAGCATTTACCGGTTTACGTTTCGTGACGCTCCCCTAACCCCTAAACACTACTTGGAGGCTCATGGTTATAGTTATACGTAGGGTAATATGTAGGCTAGCCGTATATTTATAAACGGTCAGAGGACGGTTTGGGGGTTCTAGTTTCAACCATGTTCAAGCTTCGTGCTCTTGGTTAAGAATCACGACGCGGAGTGGCTAAGCTGTATCTTTGCCCTCGGATTCACATGAAAGCTTTGAGCTCAGAGATTTAAGGCGGCGTTTCTTTAGATAAGGATCAGGGTCTCCTGCTTAGCGTACATTCCAAGTCAACAATGCAATAGTGTCGGGTGGCTTCCCGATCACTCCGTATCTATAGTTAGATAAAGAGCAAAACCACAGAAACGACATACCTCGCTTTCTAGCTCCTGTCGTGATCTGGTGGTGTTGCAGTTGCCACACTGGGGCCAAAGTGTGTCTTATGAGCCGACATGCCGCAAGCCGCTGAAGAAGGTTTCAGGACTTTCAAAGCAAACGCCGCAAGCCTACAGTCGTCCCACAATGGCTTGATACCTAATTACCTCATTCAATCCCAAACCATCCAAGCCTCGTTGATGATCACATATACTATGCATCATACCCAGCACCCAAACGAAACCATATAATGTCGGGGCCATAAAAAATTTAGTAGAGTTTGGGGGGGGGTCCGTATTATAACCATGGTATCGTGTAACCGTAACCCCCAAACCTTGTTCTAACTATTAAAGCCCCTAGGTTAAAACCCTCATGAAGCCCCTCCTCCTGGGGCCCCCGACCGGCGTGTCGGGTTTGCCGAGACTCAGGGCCTTGCGCTCCCCTGGACAGTCGGGGTCTCCGGGGTTCACGGATGTGGGGCTTTTGGGGGGTTTTTGGGTCTCGGAATTTTTGGGTTCGTTTTAAGTTCTTGGTTCAGGTTTGTGGGGAAATGGAGCTTTGGAAGTTTTAGGGTTGAGGGTGATTCAAAGTTTATGACCTTGAGGTTTTGGTTAGGCTTTCTGGAGTTAGCGGTTTAGGGGGATCTTGCAGCGGCCGATGCTGCTGTTGCAGCACCTCAAGCCGTAGCCTCGTCCGGTTGGATTTGTTGGTGGTTTTTGTGTAAATCATTGATGCCCTAGCCCTGTACCCTGAACCCTGAACCCTAAGCCCCTAAACCATCCTAACCCCCAAACCCTAAACCCGGTCTGACCTTGCTCTTCCCATCATGTGGATCCCCGGATGGGTCCGGCAGCTGAAGGGCGACGGCCAAATCGAAGACGTGGGCAACCCTAAACCCTAAACCCTAAACCCTAAACCCTTAGGGTTTAGGGTTTAGGGTTTAGGGTTTAGGGTTTGATGCACGCGAAAGCGGTTGGACTTCAGAGTTTCGGTTGTAGCGTTTCGGCTTTTGGGGGCGGGGGGTTGATTTTAGGGTTCCGGTTCTTTGGGCTCTGGCTTTAGGGTCTCGGTTTTCGGGTTTGAAGTCGTAAGCTACGTTAGAACATTAAATTATAGAACACTTTTTCTAGGACCTTCCAATCCACCGAGGCCTGCGATCTTAAGCAAACGCCCCTGAAAACCCCCGTGTAGAAATCCGACAGAGCCCCATGCAAAGCCCTGCAATGTGAAGGCCCCAACAATTAGGCTAGAGTGCTAGAGGGGGGGTGTTATAACGTACTCAAACGAAATCTTTTTTGGGGGGACTACTATTACCAACGATTCAGGCGCCTGTACCTACATTATGCCCGTTTCATTTTGAACCCGCGAGTAAACCCAATAACACACCTATAGAACCCCATAGACCCATAGAATCAGAGCTAAAGCTCGAAAAGCCCTGTAGAGCCCGATAACCCTCTCATCAAAAGCAGAGAAAAGCCTTCACATAAGATCCAAACTGAAGCCTCAAAAAAACTCCATACAACCCCATAACCATAACACCCGTAAGTAAAACCCCAAAAAACCATAGAACCCCCATAACACCCATACCCCCAAAAAATATGGCCTTCGAGCTGGTTCAGCTCCCCCTTCCGCAGTTGGCTCAGCACACGCCGCCGACGGAGCTCTCCTACGGCTCGGCCCAAAAACACCCCAAAAAAACCGTAAACTCGTGCTTTGAGGGTGAGGCTTTAGTGCTTTGGGGGTTTAGGATTTAGGGGTTCAGGGGCTTCGGGTTTAGTGCTTTACGGGCTTGGGGTTTAGGGGTTCATGGCTCGCTTACGGGTTCTTATAAGTGTTTTCAAGCAGTGTATAGGGCATTATGGGGTTCTGCGAGGTTTTGTGCTGCAAGGTACAGTGTCTGGGCCCCGCTGACTAGGATAGCATCTGGGGAAATCAAGTAGCGCTACATGGCCCCAAAGCCCTGAAGCAACGAAAGCACCTGAAACCCTAAAGTCCTGAAACATCAACCAAAGACCTGTCTAGCCCTTATAGAACCCCAGAACCCGTATAGAAGCTCATAACACACCCCTTCAAAAAAATCAGCACACACACACACACACACACTCATGCAGGCCCCTGAGCAAGAAACCTTCTCTCTTTACGGGCCGAAGTCTTGCCCCATGCAGCCCTACAAGCCTACTGATTCGGCGTTCCTCATCATGATTTCCTTAAGAAGGTAGGTTATTTGGTTATTTGGGATTGAGGAGGGGTCTGCATTCTCCCCTCAACCCCTCTCAATGAGGGGTGTGAAGATGGCCTTCCCACACGTCCAAGCCCTGCACCAGGCGTCGGCAATCGCGGTCCTTGCGCTTCCCAGGGCTTAAACTTTCCTCCCCTTAGAACCATAATAAACATAATATTTTCAATATTCTCTTGGGTTTTATATGAACAAAAAGAAAATCATTCCTGAGGAGACTATAGACAAGGATTTAGGATTCAGGGTTGCGGGCTTAGGGCCTGGGGTGTGTAGGGTGTTGGTGCACAACCAGTACGGCACGGTACACACTTCGGGGTTCTCAGGTTAAGTGGTTGCGGTGGTCCGATGGTTCCGTCGTGTTCGTCGTGATGCCGGTTGTCGTCGTGATTTCAGGGCTTTAGGGCTTTAAGGTTTAGGGCCTTAGGGTTTAGGGGCTTAGGGGTTTAGGGTTCAACTGCTCCAGAAATTTCAGCCCCCGCTCATAACAAAAATCTTGCCCAGAGCCTAGCCCAGAACTTCAAGCCAAACCGTAGATCATGGCTACCGCAGGCCCCTTAACCCTAAACCCTGACGTTCCACCGCAACATCTACTTGGAGATTCATGGGTAGTTGTAAGTGGGGTTATAAGTCCCGTAATATGGGTTATAAGTATAGTTACCCTAATTATAACCCTAGTTACTAAGTCCCATTGATCCTTTAAGTAGATTTTTCACAGGAAGCAGCCCCGGCCTCCTTCTTCTGCTTTTCCCGGCGCCTGCTCTGCGAAAACGGCTTTGGGACTTCGGGATCTTTGGTGATGTGGGCAATGCTGGCGCAAGCTCAAGGCTCGGCTTTGTAGTTAGGGTTTAGGTTTTAGGGTTTGGGGGTGTAAGTTTGAGCACGAAGGCTCGCAGGGTTCGAGATGAGTGTTGTCCGCCTGCGCGCGGGTCTGAGAGCTCGGGAGTCTTGGGCGAGACATGTTCACGATCAGCATGGGCGTCCTCTGTCTTCTCCGTGCTGCAGATCGAGGCTGATTGCGACTGTGTTCAAACCTGTCACCAGTAGTAGACTTAGTGGTCGCATTCTTCGTCGGCATGGACCTGCCCTGTGGCTTGTTCTTGCTGCGCTGTCACGATGAGAAGTGCAGACCAATCGTATACATACATGAAGACCTAGAGCAGTGAACATGCAACAAGCCTGGAGACCTTCCCAGATTCAGGTGTTCCCCTGGTATGTTTCAAGGATCGCTGGACGTCGTAAATGATGCTCTATCTATATCTATATCTCGAAGTACATGTCATACGCAGCTGGAAATAAAAGTCACGGTACAAGTTCAGCGTTTAGATTTGCAGTCAGTAAACCCTAAACCCTAAACCCTAAACCGAGTAAAGTCTCAGGAACGCCGAAGCCAGCTAAGGAAGGCCTTCGGCGCATCTGCCGCAGAAAGTTTGCAGCGAAGCTATCGACCTGCTTAAGTGGTAGGGCTGCGGCCTGTCTTTTAAAGGTTTAGAGTTTAGGGTTTAGGGTTTAGGGTTTAGGGGTCTAAGAAAAGAGTATGGATTTAGGGTTTCGGGTTCGGGATACTGCTGTTTCGGGTTGGAGAGAGAGAAGATTCTCTCCAAGTCGTTCGGTCTCTCGACCAGTCTCCCAAGCCCGAAAAGCTCTGAGTTGGGTTTAGGGTATTGGGTTTCGTCGGTTCAGTTGCGCTTCAGGACGGTTCTCGTCGCTTCTGGTGCCTAAAGCCCAGAGCCCCGCAACCCTGAAATCCCGGGTCGATCGCGAAGAAAGCCCAAATCCTGACTCCCAAGCCCCCAAGCTCTCAACCCAATCGTAGCGCATAGGATTTTTGAAAACCTATGTTTTGAAAAAACATATTAAAAAAACTATGAAGTACCAAACAGCAAAGCAAAATGCAAGTCAATCCCTCAAATGGCCCGAGGTCAGAAGCCTTCGACATGTTGGGAGATTTTGGGGTGGTTGGAAGTTTAGTCTAAGGGCCTTAATAATTAGAATAGGGTCTTGGGGCCCATTATACTATAGTACTATAGTTTTCAAAAGCAATAAGGAACACCCAAAATAATATTATAGGTAATTCTTAAGGCGCGTATTTTCGGAGCTTCGGTGCGCCAGGTGCAGGGTTACGACTAATTATGCCCTGAACATGGGAAGACCGCCCTAAGCAGTTTGCCTTGAGGTCAGCACATGTTCAGGACCCTTTTTGCTTCCATGCCTTCAGCATGCTTGCTGCAATAAGAAGTTGCGACGCGAAAGCTTTCATCCATCAGGAGAAGATGACATCGAAAGCCTCAGGGCATCAAGCCTGGCTGCAATCAAAGCGTAAGCCCTCAGAAGTTCAATTCCTAAGGCCGGCACGAACCGAGATCTATACAAACCGTTCTCGGAACCCTTCTAGCAACCCTGACAGGGACCCGTGAAGGTACCCTTCTAGAAAGCCTTGCCGGTATCCTGAAACCCTTCAGCGATTGCTTCAAGATACCATAATTAAAGGAATGTGAATGGGAACCCTGCAGAGCCAGAGCTGGACACCCTGCGCGATCCGACTGACAGAAGCTCGGAATCCGAGATCATCTCTCTGCAGCATCTCGCGACGCAGACTTTCTGAAAACACGGTGGTGTAAAAGTCTTTGAACCATTTGGCTCCATGTACTTCCTGCATCTCTGAGAAATCCTCCTGACTAGCTTGATGCTTCTGCACCGAACTCGGAACAGAAGGCACCCTAAGATAGACATCGAGTTGTGGGATTCTAACAAGAAGGACCAGGACCTACATAAAGTTGTCGCAGAACGACCTGCGGCGAACAAGAAGGATTATTCACACCTCCGCATTACTGCATGCTTGGAGGATCATGGGTGGTTACACGTAGGGTTATAAGTCCCCTAATATGGGTTGTAAGTATAGTTACCTTAATTCTAACTCTAGTTACTACGTCCCATCATCCTGTATCTAAGGTTAGGGGGACTCTCGGGCTTGGGCTGTTTGGTTCAGGATGCATACGGCTTGAGGTTTGGTTCGTTCAGGTTGAGCTTCGGACGCCGACTTTCACGCCTGTAAGGGGTCCACATGTGAATTTCCATGGAGCCAGTGGAATTCCATGTGGGTGGTTGTCAAAATTATGGTCCCCTTTTGGGTCCCTATAATAGTACAGCACCTTATATTTAGGGTACCCAAAAAGGGACCCTAATTTTGACAACCACCCATGTGCAAGGCGCCGATCTGGCCGTTGTAGGCTTCAGCGTGGTGCAGAGACACTGCCGTCCGGAGAAGAGGTGAAGGCTTTTCGGGGGATCATTCGAACCTTAAATCTCAGATTCGGACAACAGGCAAGGGTTTAGGGCCTTTAGGGTTGAGGGTTTGGGGTTTAGGGTTTAGGGGCAAGGGTTTGAGAGTTGGGGGCAGTAGCTGGTGTGAACAGCAGTATAAGCAGGAGCAGAAGCAGGAGCAGTCGTGGTCGTCGTCAAAAGCAGCAGCAGCAGCGTGCTGCTGCTGGTGCTGCTGCTGGGGGCGGCGGTCGCCGCAGTGGTCCCCGTCGTCGTCGTCGCCGTCGTCGTCGTGTTCATCAGCGTTGCCGTTCTCGCTTGTGATTTCGTCTTGCTATGGTGGCAATCCTATTCTGCACAAGTCCTCAACCTTACTGTTCATGAAATCGCCCCAAATAGGCTCTCCAGCCTCAGCCGGCAAATCCTGGCTCGGCCTCCGCCGTTCGGCGAAGTCTGGAAAACTTGGCCATACGGGGATCTCGAGGAGACGTTTGGAGCCCAACTTCGAGTTCAAGGTAAAGTGATCCGTGCCCGCAGAGCGATCCGGGTTCAGGAATGTCAGTCACTTAGGAGACCCTAAACCCTAAACCCTGAGCCCTAGACCGAGGTTCAAGGGGCCCGGTGGCTTCCTCCTCCCAGCCCACATGCCAAGGCTGTCAGCAAGGAGCATTTTATCTGTACAGCAAGTTGTCTCGGTCTGGAACCGGCAAGTCTTCTCCGACTGGATCTTACCCCAGCCCTGAAGCTCACATTTTGCAAGCAATATAGCTTCCCATCGCAACCTACGCAGAACTGGTTTGATGCTGCTGGACGCTTCCTGTGCCCAAGCCGCAAGACCGGAAACTAGGAGCCTGAAATATGCGCAAAACCCCAACACCTAAACCCTTAGCGATATAAGGCGCCCCAAACGTTGCAGCCTTAGCCAAGCCTCAGCCCCAGCCGAACCAGACCCTGAGAAAGCCATGTTTAAGGTTCAGGCTTTGGAGTTTCTCTAGCCTACCTGTCGGGTATCATGGGGAACTAAAGGTTAATCACTTATGTTATATAGGGACTATACTACCCAAAAAAGGCTAAAGGTTACCTACTCTACTACTAGGCTAGTTCAGGGTTTGGGGTTCCAAAATACTAATTATTAATGTTCCTCCGTAGCTCCCTAAGGCACCTTGCAATCCTACTCCCTAAAACCCGAATCCCAGGACCCAGCAAACCCTACACCCCAACCCCTAAATCCCCCCCATCTCACACAGAGAACAATCCTAAACTAAACCCCTAAACCCCCAAATCCCCTTAATGCATGAATCCCAAAAAAACTAAACCCCTAAATCAAAAAAAAACCCTAAACCCTAAACCCCTAAAATCCCCCCTACCCCCCGGAACATCACACGGAGAAGACCAGGTGGTGCTGCACAAGAGTCAAGGACTCATCTTCGGGTCGCTCCAGCGCTTCGACCTTTTTTGGGGGAGCCGTGTTTTGGGGAGGCTAGGGGTTTAGGGGTTCAGGGGTGTTTAGTGGTTTAGGGGTGTTTAGGGATTAAAAGACTTTACGGGTTAAGGGACTTCAGGGTTTAGGGGCTTAGGGACAAAAGGGTTTAGGGACTGTAGGGTTCAAGGGTTTAGGGGTCAGGGGTTTAGGGTTTGGGGACTTTAGGGACTTTAGGACCCTGAAAACTCCTTTCCTGGAAAGGGTTCCTTGAAAGGGTTAGACCTAGGGGCCGTTTTGGGATTAGGGTTTCTTGAATTTCCTTGGTTTCTTGATTTTTTTTCTTAGGTTTTATTTGGCTTTAATAAGCAACAGAGGTGGCTGTGAGCCTTCAGCAGAGCTTCAGCCTTCGCAAAAGCCTGGGCATTTCTGAGGCTTTGGCTTCAGGGTGTGGTACAAAGGTCGGAACCCAAAGACTCCAATATCCCTGAATTAAGGAATATACCATAAATCATATTAGGGATCCTACGATAATTGAAGGTCTATTCCTTAATGAAGGGATATTGGAGTCTCTGGGAAGACCAAGAAGTCGTGTCGCCTTCGAGTCCCTACATAGCTTTATCCTATGCTGTACCCCAAAAATCCTATTCTGCAAAATCATTGAGGCCCCTACACTTAACCCTCATAGTAGCCCTTTAAAGGAACAGTTCAAAGGGAGCCAGTGAAGCCCCAAACACAAAACAATCGTAAACTTTACCTTAACATTGAAGAACCTACCGTTTTAGGGTTCCCTGTTTTCTGATTTCTTTATATAAGTCCTTAAAAAGGCATGTTATTCCGGGTTAAGGTAAACCCCACGGACTCGACATCCTCAAAACCCTGAACCCAACACAATCATACCTTAAACCCCTAAACCCTAAACCCCTAAACCCCAAACCCCTAAACCCTAACCCCCTAAACCCCTAAAACCCTAAACCCTAAACCCCTAAACCCCTAAATCCCAACCCCCCAACCCCCTAAACCCCTAAAACCCTAAACCCCAAAGACCCGACAGCCTCGAATCCCCAAACCCCAAAACCCTGGGGCGGGGTAAGTAAGGTTATAGGTACCCTAGTTGGGGTTATAAGTATAGTTACCCTAAATATAACCCTAGTTTCTAAGTCCCATGATCCTTTAAGTAAACCCTAAAACCCCTCTTATAATAGAACGAACCCCTATAGATCCCCTTTAAAGGAGCCCTTTACAGTATAACCCTAGGTTACTAAGTCCCATGATCCTTTAAGCAAAACCCTGGGGGCGGGGGCTAAAAATTTCGGCGCTTCGTACTCCAAGGCGAGGTCCAGCGCTGTCTGGCCTCGAGGGCTCTTTTGGGTGTACCGAAGGGCTGCTTTAGGGGTTTAGGGGTGTAGGGAATTAGGGATTTAGGGTAGGATTTAGGGGTGTAGGGGTTTAGGGAGTTAGGGGTTTAGGGGTTTAGGGATTTAGGGGTTTAGGGATTTAGGGTAGGGTTTAGGGGTTAGGGTTTAGGGTTTTGGGGACTTTTGGGTGTAACGCAGGGCTGCTCTGGAGGTTGGTAACACTACAATTGCTACTATAAGCGTTAGGATAAGGGCCACTAAATGGGCTACTTTATGAGGATTATAGCTCTGGAGGTTGGTATAGCATGGGGTACAATAACACTATAATTGCTACTATCATATCCCCCACACCCACCCCAACCCTCTCAATCCCGGGAAACCCGACTAAGCGTTTGGGGGGTGTTGGAACC